TTGTTAGTTTTAATCCAAGCATCCTACCTTCAGTGTCGTATGGGTATAGTTCCTGGTCGACTATTACTGGACTTGTTTTAATCTTGGCTATTGGTATTATCTTGAATTTGTTCTTATTTGTCCTGATTTTCCATTTTTTCTCAAAATCATTTATGTTTTTATCGCTCTTACCGTGTAGAGTGCCATAAATTGAGTTGATTTTCCTGGGTATGATACTATTTGAGTAATATCATCAGCAAACATTACATATTCGCTAAAGGGGGTAGGTTGAGGTGTGTCTGAAGTATAAATTGTATATAGTGTTGGAGAAAGGCATCCTCCTTGAGGTACTCCACTCTCAAGATTAAACATAGTTCCTAAAAGTTTCCAATTTGAATTTGTGCTCTCCTATCATCTAAATAGTTACACAATATTCTTATCAAGTATTCGTTAAGTCCCAGTTTTAATATTTTATATTTCAAGCCTAAATGCCAAACTTTATCAAAAGCCTTAGAAACATCCCTTAAAATTATATTGATCTGGTTACCCTTGCTTTTTTCTATTGCCATTATTTCCGTTATTGTAGCTATTGCAGTTAGGGTATTTCTATTGGGCATAAATCCATGTTGTCTGTTGTTAGTTTTCCCATGTTGTGTTAAAAAGGCTATAAGTCTTGAATTTAATATTTTTTCCAATAGTTTCCCGGTAATTTCTAATAAAGATATTGGCCTGTAGTTTAATATTTCCTTATTGTCCTTACCCTCCTTAGGAATAAATATCATTTTAGCATATATTAGTTTGTCTGGAAAGTAACCAGTTATTAAGCATGCGTTATAAATGTTTAATAGTGTATTTAAAATGTTTTCAGGTAGATTCATGATCATATTTCGTGTAATACCTGTGAGCCCAGGGGCTTTTTCCTTAAATTTCCTCAGACAGTGCATCATTTCTCCTATGGTTATTATTTGATTATTAGGTAATAAGTTATAGTCTATATATTGCCTTGGGGTGATTCTCTATGTATTTGTCTTCTCCCATTTCTTCTTATCCTTTCTTCGTGTTCACTATCAAAATCTTCATTTTCCCTTTATCTGATATTTTTGAAAACTTTTTACCCATTCCCTTTTGAATGCTGACTCTTGTTCATTTTCCTCGTGCAATTTTGTTCCATTTTGGTCTTTAATGTATGGTGTGTTTTTTGCTTGTTGTGCCCCATCATCTTGTTTATGGAAGTCAAAATGTTTTTGTGTCTTTAGTCATGTCAGCCGCCATTATAATATCATTCCATTTTTTATTGTTTGCTTCCTTACATGCGTCTCTTAATTTTATCTGTAGTGCTATCTGTGTCGTATATAGCCATCTGTTACTGCCGTGTCTTTCCATATACCTGTTTATTTCATTGTAATAGGTCTGGATTAATTTAACTTCTTCTGGTAGTCTGTTGTTGGGTAATGTTCTAAAGTGTGAAGTAGGAGTGTGTTTGGTTATAGATGTTTTTATTGCTGAGTGCAGTCTGTCCATTTCTGAGTCTATATCTTCTGTTGTTTTCCCTTGTAGGTTAATCGAGTGGTGATTACTTAAGTCATCTTTGAAGCTGTCCCAGTCTGTTTTACTCATTTTCAATCTCTTTTTTATTGGTATCTGTATGGGGCTTGTTGACAGTGTTAGTATAATTGGCAGATGGTCACTGCCTGTAAGAGGTCCCTGTATTATATGGTAATTGAAAAAGGCTTTGTTGTTGGTAAAATTTTTGTCTGGTGTCGATTGTGTATTGTGATTTCTCCAGGTTGGAAAGTTAGGACCCAGATGATTGATTTTCCCTAAATTTATTAATTGATTAAGGGCGTTTCCCACGACGTTATTATTTGTATTGTCAAAAATCCTATGTCTGGCGTTAAAGTCTCCTAAGATGTACATCGGATGACTATTGTTAGCCAATTTTAATAGGTCTTCTATAGGTAAGTAGGGTCGTCTCGGTGGGAGATAAGTAGTAGCAATAATTACGCCTCCTTGAGTTGTATTTATTTTTATTGCTAGAAATTCATCCTGGAAGTCATCAATTAGTTTCAATTTTAAGTTTCTTTTAACCGCTATCGCTACTCCGTCATTTTTCTCGCCCGATTTATTTCTTTGGTTTACATAATAGTTAAAGAGTTTTATGTTGTTGTTTTCTGTCTCACCGTGACTGTTTATTAGTATAATGTCAGGGTCAATTTCTTGATATATATTACTTAGATTAATTCTCTCGGTCTTCCAGTTTCTTACGTTGTGTTGTATTATTCTTAAAGTTCTTACTGTTTGTCTATTGTCCATTATTTCTTATACTTGGATTGTGACAGTTGGAGTGGAGACCTATCATCCTGTTTCCCGCTTCTGACTCTTCTAAACTCTGAGGGGTCTACTATTTTAAAGTCATTGGTCGTAATCTTTAGTTTGTCCGTAGTAATTAGTGACCAGACATAATCTTTACTTAGGGATTTTTCTTGATATGTCCACTTGTATATCCCTCCTTCACAGTTTTTTACTATTGTCCCTCCTGTTGGTCTCGATGTTGGGATTCCATGTTTTGTTGTAGTGATAACTTTTAATCCAATATCTTCAGCAGATTCAGGTTGTATATTGTGTTCAGTTTCCATCTTATCTTCTCTCCTCCTACTCCTTTGTCTTATAGTCTGTCCTTTTGTTATTTCTATCTTCTCTTTGTCACTTCTAGTCATTTGTCTGGGATCTCTATCAGTCGCTTGTGTTCCTTGTGTATCAGCTGTTGCTCCTTGCTCAAACCTTTGTTTGTCTAGCTGTAGTCTTTCGCTCAGTTCGCTTGCGTATGTTGCCTGAAATAGTTTTTCGGATTGTGGATTCTCTGGAAATATCATCTCTGGTAGGCTATTCAATTTAAACATTTTCCTTAATTCCTCATTGTATGATCCGGGTGCAATGATATTGTGCAAATGTGCATGGATCATACTAATCATTACCTTATCATGTATTGGCTCACTTAGGTTTAATATGGTGGATTCTGGTCTGTGAGCCTCTTGGACCGCTCTCTTGGCTATTTCGACGTATGTCGTATCCTTCTTGTCTTGTTCCTTTTCCTTGTTTCTTGTTCCTTGTACTTTATCATGTGTTTTTTTATTGGGCATGCCATTGCTAACGTCCTATGTCCTATGTATGCATTCCCGTTTCTCTTACAGTTGAGACAGCCAACATGTGTATTCTTACATTCAGTGTAGGTATGGTCGTCGCCTGCACAATCTGAGCAGTACTTTTTTCTTTTTCCGGACAGTCTCTCGTTGTGTGTTCTTCATATTTGTAGCAGGAGAAGCAAGTTTGCAGACTGATGAATGTCTCCTTTATTTGATGTGGTGTGACTGACATGTTGAATATTAGAAAGCCCTGTTGTAAAACTTTCTCAGCCATTGACACTTCTTCAAAAGTAATCTTAAAAACATGAGTATAGTCTTTTATCTTAATGACTTCTTCAATCTTCATCCACCTGTTTTGGCGTTCCAGTTCATCTTTCAGGTCTTCAGATGTCTTCCTCCCGATCTCTTGGTCGACTTGACGAACGAAAACTGATCTTTTTGCTTTTTGTTCTGGTGGCATGACAACCACAAGGCCTTCATTGTAAAATATATCTCTGGCTTCTTTTGAAAGGATTTTATCTGAATCAAAGTCATCTTTACAGATTACTTTAAAACCTTCATTGGTGCTGAATATTCTTGTTAGTGGGACTTGCAATTTGTTGTAAGTGATTTCTGCCACTTTTCCCCTTCCAATAGAGTTTCCCTTATCTCTGTTTTATTCTAATGCTTGTTGTCATCTTCTTGATTACATCTAATCCTACCTATAACACAGGGCTCCTGCCTGGGAGCAGTGACCCCGCCCCCCCCTCTTGGACGGGCGTCGGGCTCGTAGGGTTCTGCACCCAGGTTACCTGTGACTATAGTTATGTCTAAGAAAGTTGCCACCTACCGGTGACCCCCGGACAAGGGGTGCCCTGCACTATCACAGGTTCCCTTGCCGGATCGACCGTATCGCTAAGTCCCGCCTCCCGTTCAAAGAACGGAGTGCATGAGGGGGATGAAAAAAGGAAAGAAGAGGACTTAGAGAGTAGAAACAGCCTACCTACCACGCCACGTTCGGTTAGCCAATCAGAGCACCGCAGTAAACGTGCATGTATCACGCCACCGTGGGGCACCACTGATTGGCCAATCCAGGACGTAGACGCACGGGTAGTAGTCAAAATTTGGGGAGCCCAAATATTTGTTTTCCAGAAGTTGGAATTTTCCGTACAATCTGTGATGGTAATTACACCGTCACTATGTTGAGTAAGTACAATCACTAGGATTGAGTGTCCTATCACAACAAAGTTGCAGACTGCTCAAACATGCAGCAAAAGAGGCAGGTCTTCGCAGCTCCGGGTCCAGCAGTCAGAGATAGGTCACCACGAGGTCAGGTCTTATGTAGCGGAGGTAGGCGTGGCTTAATAGTTGACCTCCGTGATGTATGGCGGCGCTGGTTGACCTAGACCACGAGGCATACACTGGGGAATTCGCGGGGTCGGCTACTCAGCGACAAACAGCGTTTGTAGGGGAGAAATCCACTACAATACCAAATGTACATGTTACTTTACAATATACAGTGTATTATTACTAAATTTGCTTACTGTACACTTTTGTATTTTTGTAACCACACTGCTGCAGCCACTGAGGGTGCCTAATCTTCATGTGATCATTTTTTATTTAGTTTACTCCACATTAGGGTAGAGTGTCTGGTAGTGATAACGAATCAAAATAACCAGTTTAGACTTGCAAGTTTTACCTGAGAATTTCTAATGTAGAAAAAGTTCCACGACTATGAAATCGTATTTTATTTTAATTGTATTTATTTACGTAGTAAATTAACGATTAAAACAAATTAATTATCATAAAGTAGTTTTAGTTAGTAAGCTTGTTTAGTTTACACCATATTTAAAATTAATGGCATAAAGGTGCTTACCAGGATTTTTGTGTTTAGTTCATAACATTGCCCTTGCAGCACCCCGTCAACCACCCGGCCACCGACTCTTACTGGAGTTGTGTGAAATAAAGTTCCCTAGATTTACCGTCATTCTTCACCTTAAATTTGCGTGACAAGCATGGCAAATAGTGAAGATGGAAAGAAGATATTATTTATATGCCTGGGTAAGTTGAAAAATTAAGTTTCCTTTGTTATATATTGAGAGAATGAGTAATATTATGATGTCTGATGAACCTTCAATTCCGAACATGAACTGGAGTACATAATAGCCGAATAGAAATTTAATAAAAAATTTCTAAGGTTTATAAGAATCTTACCATTTAAGTCATTGTTCAGAATTTTTGGTAATTTTTCTATATCCACCCATCACATTTTTTCACATGAAAAATATATTTTGTCGCTAGTTTTCTTGCTGTTTTAAATGATTCATTTCTCTTTGGGGCAAATCACTGGGATTTTTTATAGTTAGGTTAGGCTAGGTTAGGTCAGGTTAGGTTAGGTTTCCTTGCTGTTCTAGATGATTATAAATGTCAGAGTCATCTAAAACAGCAAGAAAACTAGCGACAAAATATATTTTCATGTGATAAATGGTGATGGATGGTTAACAAAAACTTACCGAATTTTTTTCTGGGCAAAATACGTTGGTGGAGACCAGATATGGCAAAAATGGACATTTTAGTTTAAGCACAGGATACAGTATGGTGCAGCAATGCTATAAACATCGATGTCTATTGATACGGCAACCTAATGTGTGAGCGTGGTGGGCAGACTATACAATGATAGTTACAAAGATGGCCTTTCTGACAAACCTAACCATTATTTGGTAAAATTGCAGATTACAGCAACCAAAGAATGATAAGAAAAAAATGTTACCTAACCTAATGTGACATAAGAAAATGATCATAGAAAAAATAGTTCTTTGATTGAGTGTAGTGAATTTCCGGAATTCTGTGGTTGCTGTTTACTGCAATATTACCTGTTATTTTTTTTACAAGTTGCTCATAATGTCCCACAATATTTTTGGGTCCACTTCCAGATATATCTCGTCATTTCTAACAATTTTTTATAATGTTTCCTTCACAAATGAATCGTTTTCGATAAAATTGCATTAATTTGTTAGATTATGGGCGACTTGTAAAAATTTACCACCTAACCTAACCATTAACAACACGGTTCATCAATATGACAGCCAAACATATATCCATTGTGATTCTTGGTGTAAAGCTGCCGTACTTATATGCTCTGTGTTTAGGATTTTCCTACAGGGTCTACATCATCAATCAGCACGTCTTTGGTGTTCTGGTAATACATATACTTTACTGTACTTTGTTTGATTTCAGCTGGAATGGACCAATTAGTGATATACTGTACACTCATTTCCCAGTGCTCAGTGGTTCTTTCCTACAAAAATCAGATGTTTTAGGTATTTACTGTTACCAACTCACTAATAGTGTGACATGTAGATGGGCCCAAGATAACTATAGGTATTTTCTCATGAAATTGAGGTTGAATGTTCATACTGTTTGTAGCAAAATACAATTGGGATAATTGAAATACGTACAGTATATAAATCCCTAGAATGGTATTTATCTTTGCCTACCTAATTTATATACTGTACAGTACTTAATGGCCAGCCTGAATAAAGGTGGTAATGCCAGGGAAAGGAAGTCAGTGGCCTGTGTAGGATCCTGCCATTGTTCTTGATAGTTTTGTTAAAGACTGTTTAGAAGTTTACTGTTCCTGCTTCCATTGCTTGAGCTTATAGACTTCTGAATGTTTGCCACCCTGTGAATGAAAGAGCACTTCCTTATACAGTATTCATCCTGCATGGCACCTAGATGAGCTTAAGGTTGTTTCTCTTCAGGGTAAAGGCAGAGGAGACTGTTGGCACCAGAAGAACTTATGGAATTGCACCAAATTTTCAGGAGATGTTGTTTGGATGATACTGAGTAATTAAATCAAAGTGACAACCTTTTAGTATTATTTTATTTATTTATTTATTTTTTGCCTATCCTTTGATCAAAAGTTACTTGTTGTGGGCAGGGCATGAAAGAAGAGGGAAATTACCGGGTAAAAACACTGCTAACACTAATCATGTGGCAGCAATTTCACGTTTATGTCCTTTGTAGGCAAAAAAATAAAATGTTTATTGTATTTATGGCACCGTTGGATCTCCCGTGGTGACCATGTTTTGGTTCACATCATCAGTTATAATAATAATAAATAATAATAATAATAATTAACGGTTTATTGAAAGAGCTTGGCAGCCAGAAGGCTGAAAATATACAGTTACATATTTGGGGAATGGGTTACGAATTACAAATAATATACAAGTGACATAAGTGACACAAATAAGACATATAGTAACTTAGATGGGGATCAGCTCAAACTACAGTTCATTTCAACATAGTGACAGTGTAGGGAGCAGTGTTTACTGGGAGTAAATACACTGATTTATTACATGTTATTGATAATTTTTACAATGGTTGGGACTGGGCTGTTCTTATAGCGATCAGTTCGTGCACGTATGGGCTGGATGCGGTTGTGGTGTCGAACAGCAATTCTCGGACAGGGGATCTCAGGTGGTAGTAGGGACCGGTGTCGGGGATGGTGTAGAAGCTTCTTACCAAATTTGCAGATGAGGCCGTGGTGATGGTCAGTGAGAGTCGAAAGGGTCAGTGTGTTGGCGCTTCTTGATATGGAGTAGGAAGGGGAGGAGAATAATCTTGCATGCCCTCTTTGCACTTTCTAGGTGTTTCCGTTGTGTGGCATTTAGGGAGGAAGACCAGGTGGGGGAGGCATAGGTGAGCTTAGGAAGTATGAATGTTGTGTATACACTGAGGAGCTCGTGTGCAGGAACTCCGAGGGACTTGAGTCGGCGGAGGAGGTGGAGACGGAAACTGGAGGATTTGACAACTTCACTGACGTGTGGTTTCCAATTTAGTTTGTTGTCTATGGTGACGCCGAGGAGCTTCGTGGAATCTACAACCTGGAGTGTGTTCGGACCTAGGGTAATGGAAGGAGGTGGGACAATGCCGGAGGAGAGGTTGATGTGCATAACCATGGTCTTGGTATGGTTGATGGTGACATGGTTGTTGGTGGCCCAGTTTGGAGACTGTTCAATAAATCCTGAAGAAATGATAGTTGGGAGCAGAATTGTTGGCCTTCAGTCCCAATGGTGGAGTCGTCGACATATTTCCAGCGAGCAGGGGTTTCTCTTAGGGCATCATTGATGAGCATAAGGAAGCAGAGTGGTCCCATCTTGGTGCCTTGGGGACGCCACAGGTGAGTGACTGAAAGGTGGAGACAGCCCCTCGGAAGCGTACAGCTTGGCGTCGGTCACTGAGGAAGTCTGTAAGCCATGGTATGAGACTTCTCCGAAGCCCGAGGTCAATAGCTTTGTTTATGATTATATTGTGGTCGACTAGGTCGAACGCTTTAGTGAAATCAATGAAGGCGACAGCTACAGACGTTTTTCGTTTCTCGAGATGGCGGTAATGTAATCGAGAAAGCTGACAAGACAGTGAGTGGTGGAGGAAGTTTCATGTTGCCAAATTGCTGAGGGTCTACGACTCCTGCAATATCAGCATAAGCCCAGTCAAACACAAAACTTTCACAGATTAGGCTGGGTATTGGGGTGATTGCAATAGGTCGTAGCTGATTTAAGGATTGTGGGCTGGTTGACTTGGGCACTGGTGATACATAAGAGGTCTTCCAGTCAGCTGGGCATCTGGCTTGACTGAGAGAAGCATTGATGATGGAGCAGAGGGGTTTAGCAAGCTCCGGGGAGAACTCCTTGAATAGTTTCATTGATAAGTCAATGGGGGTGGTAGAGCGTTTTAATTTTAGTTTGTCCAGGCGTTTTGCTACGTCAAATTCTTCTACTAAGTCAGTGGGAAGGGGGGCTGGTAGGTAAGCAGGGAGAGTGGTTGTGTCAAGCCGTGGGAGCGTCTGGCATATAGTAGCGAAATGGTTATTTTGTTTGCTCAGCTGCGTCAACATTAGTGAGATGGCTAAGGAAGGGGAGGGGGTGTGTCTTATTGTTTAGTCCACAGAGTTCTTTAAGCTTACCATACCATTGACTGATGTTGGTCTGCTTCAGGTGTTGTAATTTGGTTGGGTAGTGGGACTTCTTTGCAGTGCGTATTTCGCGGATGACTCTGTTGCGAAGTGACCTGTAGCGGATGTGGTCATTGAGATGAAAGGCTCTGTCTCTCTGTTGCATAAGTCTTTTGATCCGAGGTGTGATCCAGGGCAAGTCAGCTGGGTGAGATCTGACGGACTTCTCGGGGAAGAAGTGGTGGTGAGCTGCGGTGGTGGTGTTGGTATAATTTATCCATTTGGTTTCCACGTCATCCACGCTGAGTACTTCAGTCCAGGGATAGTGAACTATCCACTGCCCAAAGAGGCGTACTGCAGAGTCAGTAATCGGCCTGTAGGTCTTGATGTAGGGTCTCTGTACTTGAGTGGGAGTGGCAGCAGGGGACCAGAGCACTGATAAGTGTGTGCTACACCCGATAGGAGGCAGTGGTTGAGGGGGTTGGTACTGGTCCGCTATATGGGAGCTTCCATGGTGTTTGTTTTCATATCAAAATGTGAACATCAATTTCATCAGGAGTCTTTGTTGCGATTTATATTGGATTGAATTTGTTTATTTT